CACCCCTTTCCTGTCTCCCTCACCAGCCACTCACCAAACAACAATCTACTACCATCCCACCGCTACTGAGCACGTGCAACACACACACCCCTCTGCTCCCCCTCAGTGTGGGTCACAGACCAACATATGTTCTATAATTATCCACAAAGCGAATCATTGAGCTCAGATATTTTCTTGTTAAACATTTCATTGACTGGTCGGTGGTGAAGGCTGCTGCTTGTGGTGACTGTGAGTCAGTTAATAGTGTGTTTCTTACTCAGCTGTTAAATATGGAAGTGGAGATCCTATTTCCCTCAATTAACACTTTAAACTAATTAAAACAGTGTCTGCTCTCTTGCCACCTCTGGGAATACACCGTGTTCACCCTCGGAGTTTAAATGTGAACCACAGTCACTGTGGATCCTTCATAAGTCTTGACTTTATACATCTAAAAATAAGACCTTAATGGGTATTAAAATGACTCAAATCAATCTTTCATATGTCTTTAAAATGCTCAGACATGCGAAGTAGTATTTAATGCATCATATTTTTCTGACATCCTAAAATGATCTATAACATCTCTCTCTCTATATATATAATTTATATTTCTAATTTACTGGATCTGTACTGGAAGTCATCATGATGAGAATTAAAGCAGTGGAATCCCATGTGCAGAGTGAGAGACACAAAATTGCCAAGAAAACTCTCCAGAAAACGCCAGATATTTCCCGCTTTCAAATCTAACTTTTTCTTTTGATCAAAAATGTTTTATGTTACAATTAACATTTGGGCAAAATTGTTCTTAACTCAAATTAAAAACTGCTGTTTTCTGTAGTTTTGTTCTTCATGTTTGGTTACTGTAAAATCAACACATTCTCATTTCAAACTTGTCAAGTTTTGATGCTTGGCCAGTAGCCTGTGACATCAAAACATGACGTGCAAGGTACACTCCTGCATCAGTTTTGGACGTTCAGGGCTGGTGTGTTAATTTACACTCATTACATACATCTTCTCTTTTTAAAATAATCTTAAAACGTAGGTTTCTAGGTTAACTTCCTTTGGTTACGGCAACAAAAGCACGTAGGTAGGGTTAGAAAAAACATCAAGGTTTGGCTTAAAATAAGTACTGTTGTTTTAACTCGACTGACTTTTGGTTTCCCATGAGACATGAACAGCAGTCTCCCGGGTCAAGGTCTGGAGTTTGTTTGACCCATCCACCTCCACTCCCACCTGTCCTATGGAGACTTTTCTTGCTCTTTCTACTGCGGCAGTTGCCCGAAGTGTCACCAAATGCTGCTGCTGGTGCATCTCATACTGCCGCTTGACTGTGCCTGTGTTCTTTGGTGTCCGACATCAAAGGGCTACTGACCAAACATCAGTATGTGGTGATTTGGTTGGTGAAATTGGTCTTAAATTGAATTCAAAGTGGCATTAAAATGTTTTAAAGTATCAAACCTAACTTACCTCAGCTGTGGGAACCCTGTAAACTGTGATGCACATTTTCTTCATAGACCTAAATTGTGTTGTGTAACTACTGCATGAAATTACAGGATGATTAACTAAATGATCTCAATACTGATGTGTTATCTAGAAGAAAATGTGATTTCAACATGAAAACACAAAAGAAAAGCAGGTAACTGCACATATTGGAGCAGTTTAATGCCACATACAGTAGCAGAGTGTTGACCAAGCGCTCAGTTTACAGAGCTGCAGGAGTCAAAGAGCAGCAGCAGTTGTTGACGTTGGCATGAACGTGAGATTACCACGACAAATGAAACAGTGGCTGTTTCTTAAAAGGTCTTTTCAAGTTCAAGCAGTAAAAATAAACTGCTGGATTTCCTCCAGTCTGATTTATGCTGCAGCAGCCATTCAAAGAAAAAACCTGTTTTATTGTAACTTTCCAGCTGCAGTGCGACCGTCGGCTGCATGAAGCTGAAGTTAATGAGACAGGATGGATATTTAAAAATATAACTCTCACAGTGTGGTACACAGCCAAATTAGTGTTGGAAATAAATATAAATATCTGTTTCTTAATTTAAAGTACAAATAACATTGGTGCCCTGGTCCATGTGATGTAAATGTTGTCATGTACCCATATCCGTGAGGGTCTGCGCTGACCCCTGTGTGGATGTCTGTGTGCAGCCCATTTTTGTGACACTGCGGACTGCGCCTGCTCCAGTCTCTTGCCACACACTCCAGTCTGGTCCCAAGCCAGCCGCAGATGTCTTACCATGGCGAAGTTACGTTTAAGTTGGATATTCGACAGATGTTCAGTCTAGACACAGCAGCATCATTTTGTTTCACTTTCACCCGGTGTGTCGGCAGTAGGGCGGTAAGCTCACCTTCTGGCCGTCCCGTCTACTGATGGGGGCTAAAGCGGGCTGTCAGTTGTACTATGAATAAAACCACATCCAAGTGACCACAGCTCTCTGTGGACATTCAGTGTGGAATGTGTGCCCAAGCCTTGTTCAAGCGTTGGTATGTTTTCTTTAGTGTATCATAACCTGAAAATAAGAATTGTTGTATTTAAGTTAACTTAGAATGAACCTTTTATGTCTACACAGGGAGCGGCTCCTTGCCCACCATGTTGCAGTGCCATGGTTGCACCAGTTGCCCAGAACAGACGAACCAAACGCTGATGAATGACGGGTCAATTTACGGCACAAAGGTAATGCGTCGACCATTGCTCACCTGGATAGAGTATTAGTGTATGTAAAAAGTTCACATTGTTGTGTAATAATTTTGCTTGTCTGTTGCAATACAAGTTCGTTTGCTTTGTTTTGATAGTAATTTACTTTGTCTCACCAAATGACATCATCAGTGGTGCTGTGTTAATGTTAATGCAGTTCAGTTTCAGTGTCATATGTTATTTATATTATGACGACTGTGTTTTTCCTTTTGTTTCTTGCTATTCACCTTTATTCTTTTTATTATTCTTTATTGCTGTGCATTTATGCTTACAGATGAGTGTGTTGGTACTCGTTGTGAAACCCAGATATTAGTGTAATTATTTGCTGGGCTCTGATGAGACGGAAAGCACTTTGGTCGTCTTTGCAGCAGCGGCACACACAATAAACACTGTATTTTAAATACAGCAATGAGTAAATATATTTAGTTAATTTCTCAAAGGCGAAATAAAATTCTGGGTCTAGGTTCAGGACATTTTGAAAGACATCTGTTCTTCCCTTCACCCTGAGAATACAGTAGTTAAACACTTTAGGCTTCAGCATCTCTTCACTTCTTTTATTCTGAACAGCACAAAGCGCAGACGATCACTTCTCAATAAAAGAAGAAAAGAAATGAGAGAAGAAAGAATCCCTTTTGTGTTTAATGAAGAAGCAGCAGCGTAAACAACAGCATCGTGTGACTCTGAACACTAACACGTACATAACAGGCTTGGGTGTCCCATTACTGCCGCCCCCTATGGAGCAGAACATGTTAATGCATTTTCCAGACTTCCTGTGTTTCGGCCCCTGATGTCCACTCAAACGACAGTCAGTGGACCCTCACCTGACCCCAGCATCACTCTGTGACTGCTGCAGAACAGATTATAGAGAACAAGTCTCAGCTGCACTCAGCATGTACCAGTTCATCAACTTAATCATGTGTCAGAGGAGCTGCAACTCAAGATTATTATGATTATTGATTTATCATTGAGTATTCTCTCAATTGACTCACATGTCCAATTATACAGCAGTGAAAATTTCATCTGCTTATCCAGGGTTATGTGGGCAGCAGGCCGATCAAAGTACTCCAGACGTCCCTCTCACCAGCGCCACGCTTTACAGCTCCTCCTGGGGAATCCTTGGGCATTCCCAGGCCACATGAGACATGTAATCCCTCCAGCATGTTCTGGGTCTGCCCAGGACCTCCTACCAGTTGGACTTGCCCAGAACACTTCTAATGGAAGGTGCCCAGCTCCTCACCCTATCTCCAAGGCTGAGCCAAGCCACTCTATGGAGGAAACTCAATTTGGCCGATTGTACCTACAGTCTCATTCTTTCAGTCATGACCCAAAGCTCATGACCACAGGTGAGGGTTGGGATGTTATTCAATATCTAAATTGTCACCACATTGGCATGATGCTGCAGTTGCCCTTAAAATAACAGAAATCCAAAAGTTCAGTGTTTGGAAAATGTTTCCCTTGAAGATACCGTCAGAGTTTTATCGAGAGGTGGGGGCGAGACAAAATTTGACAGAGGGGTCCACCTTGTAATCATCTATGCAGGAGAAAACCTGGAAATGATCAAGGATTATCAAAGAAGTTGCAAATTAATTTTGTTGATTGACTGATAAATTGTTTCAGCTCTAGAGGAGCAATCTTCTATATTTGTCCTGTTTGGTTTTGATTACCTGTCCACTATTCTTAAATAACAGTAACTGTGGACGTCATTATTTTAATACAACCTAAACCAGATCAGGTCTCTCTTCTCATATAGATAGAGAGACGTCCTGGTGAAATAAAGAGTAGATAGAGATAAAAACCTCATGTGTGTGCTCTGTATTTGAACTTCAGACTCAGTTGGAAATGTTCACTTCTCTGGCCTCTCTATCTTACCCACGATTCAACCCCATTTTTGCACAGTCCATATGCTCTTAAAAAAAATGGATTGATCACATTAATGATAAATTTGAAAGTTTGATCTGTGCTGGCCGTTCATGCAGAGCCGAGGCAGAGACACGACATATTTCAATCAAAACTGATTACTTTTGAGTTTATTTTGGATCAGTCCTTTTCTAAACCTTCCAAAGTCTTTCCATCGCAGCTCAACAGAGTTTGACTGATGTGACTTCAAACTGTCCCTCTGGCGTCTCACGTCATCTTAAACAAAACAAATCTCTTTAACAGAATTTCTAAATAACCAGAAATAATGTGATTGGTCACAATTGGCAGTAAATATCTCAAACTATAGCATGTTTTAGGCATTTATTTTTGGATTGATCACCCTGACTGTTATTTGTTGTTTTTCTCCCTGCTGTCTGATAGGAAACGCAGACCTCTTGTCGAGTCCTGCTGTTTGTTTTCATCAGATTGTAATGCTTTTAGCAGCTTCTGACTGTGTGACAGAGGGACGCTTCTGGACACGTCAGCCCTGCAAGATAAAGGCTGCTGAAGGTAAACATCAAGTTTTGTTTCTCTGGGGGCACAAACTTATCAGCCTTGTTGCATTTGAACTAAATAGTTGGGTGATATTGTTTTACTGACAGCTTTTACTGTTTTATAATCATATTACTGGCTTCATTTTCACTTTAAAGGAATAATTCAACATTGTGGGAAATACACTTTTACTCTTTAGTCTTGGTTAGAGTTAAACAAAAAGCTTGATCTCACTCTCATATCTGCAGAGCTGGACCTCGCACGTCCAACACCCTAGGCCAGCTTTCCCTAGCTTTCCTCCCTATATTCGACATCACAGACAGGCCAGAAAACAGGTTTGTAAACAGTAGAAGGCAGCATGGAGGCCAGTGAAAATGTCATGGTGTTACTTCTTTTTATTTTTTACTTATTCAGTCTCTCTTTCAAACTTGATGTAGACTAATTAGGAACAATGTTTGAGCACTGCTTGGGCGGAGATGATGGGTATTTTAAGGTGGCACTTCATTGCGTTTTACCTGTAAAGGGGCTAAAATTAGCATGTTCACCTGGGTGTTGTATTTCCATCACTGCCAATCAAAGTCAGAGCCAATAAATAGCCATGACTACTGCAGTCATTTGACACAGGCATGAATACTGATTGCAGCCTTTGCCATTACACACAAAAGCCAAATGTTAGTGGGTGTTAGTGGGTTTGTTGTGCAGTGAGAAAGGTGTTTTACTCCTCCACATACACTCCACCATCCTCATCGATGCTTGAGCATGTTCTGTCTGTGATGATCACTCACTGATAAACCCATTTTGCTGAACTGCATTGTCAGGACTAGAAGTAGTACAAACTGATCATTAGCAGTAGATCTTTGTATCACTTTTTCCCCTTATGTTTGATTTTTTTTTTTTAAATGTAAATAAAATTGGATGCAAATTTGACACCCTGTTCTGGGTGGTGCCCTAGGAAGCCTCATATGTCACCTACAGGAAGTGCCGCCACTGCATTTGTCTGTTCAGTATGAAGCTACCATCAGCAGCCAGTTAGCTTAGCATAAAGACTGCAAACAGGTGGACACAGTGGCTCAGAACATAGATGACTAAATCCACCCGCTAGTACATCTAAAGCTCACGACTACTTTTGTTTCCTTTGTTTAATCTGTACAAAAACTGAAGTGTAATTAATAGGAGAAGAGGTCAGCCATAAGAATGATGACATGGTGTGTATTTTAGACTGATATGATCACTTGATGAAAACAAAATATTACAGAAAAAGCAGCTCGTCTCTGTGGTGTTTGCCAAAGAGGAAAGGTGTGTGTGAGAAAGCTGCAGTCCAGCAACAGGTGATTATCTCCTTACCCACACAGACTGAGAGATACAGTAGTGTACACACACACACACCAAGACTAGTGGTCAGATAACAGATCCGGGATGGAGGGCAAACATGAACACACACACACACACACACACACACACACACACACACACACACACTTTTCCACTAAAGCCTCTGTTACTGTAGATCGACTGTACGCTGAGGTGGAAACATGCTGACTGGTTACGCTGGCTGATGGACATATTTAACTAAGCTGACCTGCACTGCTGTGATGATGGTGAAACTGTGAGATAACTGTGCATCATTGCAGCGTGTGGAACATCTGGACGGACAGAAGCTGAACCTGCATCATGAGAACAACTAGAGGATCTTAACCACCAGCTTGATTTCAGGTCAGCTCCCGCTCAGAAACAATAAACAGAGCTTATTTATTCGTTATGTATTGTGTAGCTGTTGTCTGACTGACAGTACAAGAGGATATTAATGAGTTTTTCATGTTTTTACTTCATGTTCAAGTTCTCATGGTCTGTTTTTGGGTCTGTTAGACATTTAACTACATGATGCATCATCTCCAGTTAGACAGATTTGTTTAGTTTACACAGGATTAGTTTACACAGATATTAACATTTCAACAGACCATCAAGCTGCAACACAAAGCCAACGTGACGTTAAATGGACAGCTGCATGAATCAATTTACACAGCTCGAAGACCTGCTGATGGACACTGAAGTCATTGTTTTAGTCTTCCATAACAATATCTGCCAAGTGTGCATTTGTTTGTCCAGCTAATCCACATCACTCAGGATCTGTTGTGCAGCTCCTTCACATACAAAGAGATCATCACAGTTAACAGTTGTCTTGAAAACAGTGACGATGGACCTGAGGAACGCCCCCTCTTAATGTCAGCAGAGACCATCATGGATGAATTAGACATCGGAGAAGATGGCAGGAAAGGTGAGTAGAAGATGAGTTTGTCATCTTATTGATATCAGAGTTATATCAGAGTGCCATCAAGCAGCAGACAATTCTGACATGTAAGGTACAGAACATTTGAGGCTGATGGGAGTGTCAGTAGTTCTGTAGCAAGTGTTGGACACGTTTGAATTGAATTTGACCTGATGATGGTGCCAAATGAAAAGTAAGACACTTATTAAAGCTATTAGAAGTCATCCTGAGGGGAACATAAATGTCTCATTCCCAACTTGTCAAATACTGCCAGTTTGTCGGAAGACATCGACAACAGACACCGATGCAAAGAAGCACCCTTCATGGCTATATTCAAACCGGTGGCCGGCAGCAATTATAAAGAGTATTATAAAGAGCAACAAAGTCAAGGGAGCCCACTGTTTGTTTCCCGTGTGAAACTATAAGTCAGTGGAGTTATTCTAATAACAACATTTTGTGCTGGTACGGTGGATGTAGTAGGAGAGCTGGATACAGCATTGGCAGCGGGGCCCTGTTTATTCTTATGAAAGTTGCTCAGTGGCACATGAAGCCAAAATGGTTCAACTGCCGCTTTTAAAATTACCCAGATGATCAGCACTGCTGCCGCATTATGCAGCCCGTAGATCAGGCAACTGGAGACTTGAAGCAGCTGAGCACAACCGAGTGCAGCCTTACTTCCGCCAGCCAAACAGCTAACTTCCTATTTAGAGCTCCACTAACTTGAATGGGGATAAAATGATTTATTCTTGCGGCTCTTCTAGACTTTCCATGCTGAGCTGTCTGTCCTCTCTGTCTCTACACTGTCACTTTCTCACTCTGTATCTCTCTCTGTCTTGGTGTGGTGCTCATCTTCTTTTACATCCTCATCATCATCACCCACCTGATTATTGCTATCTGACCTGTTGAACGTCGGCTATGTCAGTTATGATAGCGATAGAAATTATCCTGTGCGTCCCATTCCTCTCTCTTGTTGCAGATCTAAGTGTCCTGCAGGTTACGCCACATTTTCCTCTCAGCTTCTTAATCAAACAGCTCTCTGAAGGCTTTTCACAAATGCAAAAAATGCTGAAACTGAACCTGTTCAGAAAACTTTAATGACTGACGTAAGTTCAGTGGTCAGTGTGTAAACATAACTGACTCAATGTGAAGTGATAACAGTGCAACAATTTCAGGAGATAAATACCGACTTGGTGTACAAAGGTGTTAATTGACTGCCATTGTAACTGCAGAAGATTTGAGTCTTTCTGTCCACACAAAGACATTTTAATCTGGTTTTATTTTTGTTTGACAAACTGCAGAGAAGCATTACCTGCTCACAAACAGAACTAGAAACCAAATCTGAAAGTATACTTCAATGTTAAAAATACACTATGTGATAATATCTTATTTACTTACTTTCACATTCAATCAATCATCTGACTCCTGACCCCTGATAACCATCCCGCGACCTCCTGTCGGGGTTGTGACCCTGAGGTTGAGAAACGGTGACAGGTCACAGATATTTGACCCTGTCTCTGACATCCTAACTGCTCCTCAGCTTGTCAGAGGAAGGACGATTTAACATACTGCAGGAGCTGCTTGATACAACAGTTTGAGTTGTTAAAGAAAAACTTAGTGTGCATTTGTCTGACCGTCAGAGTGCTGTGCTCTGATAAATGTGTTTTTTTCAAGGTCTTTGCAGATTTGGAGCTCAACAGCTTCCACCATAGCAGAGAAATGTAGTATCCACTGTTGTTGTAGTTAAACTTCAGTCAATGTGTGTCAGTGTTGTGTGTTCTTCCTGCACTTGCAGAAGATATGCTCCTGTTAAATCAGCCAGCTCTGTGTTTGAATTAACATACACACATTATTTTGTATTGATGTGTCATTAAAACAGAGACTACATTGACTCTATTACACATTCAAGCTTAAAAAAACTGTCAAAAAAAGTACCTGGTGCTGAATCTGCAGACCAGTGTGGGTTTCAAACTGGTTGTCACTAGATAAATCTGAGGGGTTGTAAAATAGTTAAAAGGATAGAAAGAAAGGATATTTTCATCTGCACAAAATAAAGATTTCATATTACTTTTTTCCTCTATTGCTATTTTTAAATTTCAGGTAGCCTATATATCTCATAATTTGTGTTAAGGTTGAGTATCAGTTCTGAATATTTGAAATTGTTGAATTGTTGTCATTTTCCTCTGTATTGTTACACCGCTACCAGCTGCTCTTTCTTACTCTCTCTCATTGTTAATGTTTACTACATTTATTCTGCCGTTGTCTGCTATTATCCAAGAGAAAAATTAGTTGTAGTCATGCGAAAGCCTTGTTATATTAACCTTTTAATAAATATGTTAAATTTTATGCCTTTTTCCCTGTGGTATCAAAAATGGTATTGAATATTGTTTTTTTTTCAAGGTATTGTATCTAAGGTAGAAATTTAAGTATCATGACAACACTTCCTACTTTTTACAAGCACCAGTGTCATTCAAGTAAAAGCTCAATTCTGGGGCTGTTCGGTAAAAATGTTTTCTAATAAATACATAATGTAGCAACTCCTGATCAACTCACATTCATTTCAAGCTTAAAATAACTTCCAGTGAGGTCCCATCCACTTCCAATTTAAACCCCACCCATTCAGAGTGCAGATACGGTTAATTTAGTTGTTTGAACAGGAAGAGATAATGTACTCACAATTATGCCTCCATAAATTATTTCAATAAATAAAGCAAAGTGGAAAAAAATACTTTTTGGTTGAGCTGGCCAAAACCTGATGACAAACAGAGGTCTGACAGTCTGTCTCTGACAGACAGAGCAGAGTGAGGGTGGATGTGAGCAGTGCGACAGGTACAGCAAGGGTGGATGTGAACAGTGCGACAGGCACAGTGAGGATGGATGTGAGCAGTGAGACAGGCACAGTGAGGATGGATGTGAGCAGTGAGACAGGCACAGTGAGGGTGGATGTGAGCAGGGAGCCTGTGGTTGGTACTGTAGGTGGTTGGAGTGACAGCTGGAGCCCACACTGAGATGAAGACACAGCACTTCTTGTTAGCAGCGTTAGATTGGAACCAGATGTTGACTCTGCTACTGTTAGCAGTTTCACTCACTGCTGACTGTTTTACTGTCTACCTGTGTGCCCGTCTCACTGCCTGACTTCCTGTACGACTGACTGACTGTCTGTCTGTCTGACTGTGTGATTATCTGTCTGACTGTAGACCTGAGGCTGGTTTCATGAAGACTTGGACTATGGTTAGATCACACTGATGGTCAGTGTTCAGATAAAAGCCAGAACGGTCCAGCTCTTGATTTAATTAAAGCTCCAGTGTGTAGGATTGAGGGGGATATATTGGCAGCAATGGAATTTATTAGAATAATTAAGAATCACCTGAAAATGAGAATTGTGTTTTCATTGCTCTAAAGCAGTGATACTCAGCTTGTTTTGCTCAGGGGCCACCTTTGCAAAGTGACAGGAGGCCAGGGGCCAGTTATTAAACAAACATTGTTAATATTCATCACTACATATAATTAACTGCTTTCAACCTTTGGACATTTGCTTTCCTCACTCATCTTTGCCAAGAGGCAAATCCAGTCACAGCAGACTGGAACAGATCAGGTGTCACAGGAGTGTTTCTAGGATTTGAGGACATTCAGGCTTCCAGTTTGAATCACTTTTTTTGAAATGGTCGGTGGGTGACCCAGCAACCTATGACGGGCCAGATTTAGCCTGTGGGCCGTAAATTGAGTGCCACTGCCTTACAGTGAGCCATTTATATCTATGATGGACGTTTCCTGGCATAGTTTAGGAGGACTCGGGGGCAGTTTGACAACCTGCTGTCTATCATCGGCTCGTATAGCTCTGGGTATCCAGCAGATGTTAACACCAGTTTCTCCTCCATTACAGTAAACTTGTTGTTTCGGCCACCACAGAATGCCCGCCTCTCAAATCATCCAATTGGACAATGGGAAAAAAGAGATGACGTGAGGTGCTTTTTCAATCTGAGTTTACGTTTTTTTAACTTAAGGAGTTCAGAGCGCTCTGAACATCAGGTGCCTAGAGCGCAGAAATGCGAGACGTGGCAATACAAATTAATGCGAGCAAAAAGCTTCATTTTCATTAAAAACAATTACGAAAAGCCGGCTCCAGCTGCTAAAACACATTCTGTGTGATCACGTCCTTATTCAGTGTTTTACTAGTTTTAATCACCTGGTCTGTTTGTTTTAAAGAAGAAGAGCCCTCTGTGGATGATTCAGCTCCCTGTAAAAACCTCCTGAACACTGAAGGAATTCTAACTGGGAGAAGTTTCAGCTGGTTTTAATCTGCAGTCCTCACAGCTAGAAGCCACTAAATCCCCCTACACACTGGACCTTTAAGTAGCTAAAATTTGCTGTGAATTCTGGGTAAATTTAAACATTTTTCAAACTGAAAAAAACATGGCTGATCAAGCAACCATGTCAAACTACTCAGCTCCCTTTATAAAATGTTTGTGGAAGAATTCAACAGTTATGAGGGCGTTTAAATGTGAAAATTCATGGACAGTGTAATGATACAAAAACTTCCAGAAGCATAAAACCTGAGCAGACGTTTAACAGATGTTGTGGCTTCCTCTAATTCAACAGGCAGCAGAGTTTCCTTGGTTAAACAAAAAAGACAGACAAGGTCCTCACTTCTGTTTCCAACGTGTTACCGAGCTCTCTAACAACTCCTTTCCCTTCTCATAACACGCTCCACAACATTGTTAACAAACCACAAATTATGAGCTCTGTTTTCATTTTGTGGTGCAGTTGTATGGGGCACTTATCCATCGTCAGTGTGTGACCTGCAGTAGACGTCAGTCGGCACACCTCCAGTTTGGAGAAGTAGGCTGGAGCACCACCAAAGAAACTAAGCAATATACTGCTGTGGACGTGCCAGCAACAAAACTTAGCCTATTTAAGCTGCCTTGAAGTCCCACCTAAAAGAAATCCATATTAGTTTAAGTGTACACTGTATTGAGAGTATTTTCACCACTTTACCTTTCTGTCAGACAGCCTCTTCCAGTGGGGAAGTTGTTAACAGTTCCAGTTCCCTGTCTATGCTCTCGTCAAAACCACCAGACCTGATTTGAGAAAAACAGTAATTTTAACTTGCTGTACACAGGAGCTGCTGGTCTACCACTGCCTTAGTCAACCAGTTTGTTTTTACTATTGCGAGACATTGGTGCATCCAAACTAAACCTTGTAAACACCAAAGTCACACAGTAACGCAAACAAATTAACATTTTCGAAGCAGCAGTAGACCAGCAGCTCCTGTGTTCTGCAGTGTTAAATTACTGTTTTTGTCAATGGAGTCTGGCTTTGAGAAGAGTGATATAAAAGCTTCATTTTCCCGCTAGAAAAAACTGTCTGGTATTTAGGTAAAGCAGTAAAAATACTCTCAATATAGCATACACTTCAACTGACTTAAAGGTTTTTAGGTGGCTAAAATATGTTTTGCTGCTGCCTCAGTCCACAGCAGTACATTGCTTAGCTTTCATTTCGGACTCCAGTCTGCTTCTCCAATCTGGGGGCGTGCCGACTAACATCTATGGTATGTAATACACTGACTATGGAGAAGTACTTCATCCAACTCTCTACAGAAAACCTGAACCATTACTTAAGTGTGTTGCATCCACCTGTTTTTGTGCGCTGAGTAGAGACGATGGAATTCGAAAACAGAATATTGAATGTTAAAAAATGGGAAAGCATTTACATGTCATTCATTATTCCTGCCTTCCTCCCAGCCATGTGTGGACGGTACTTTAATTTAGCAAATAAAACCAGTTAATAGAAAACAAGCTTTAACAAAGTGCAACAGAAACAGAACATGACTCATATGACTTAAAGTGAAGAGCAGAAAACACAAGCTGTGTGTGGAGCGATGAGAGGACTGTAAACGATTAATACATGGAACAAACACAACTGTCAGTGTCATCATGTTTTCTTCCACATGGTTTTCCATTGTTTGAGATTTCACTGGAGCTCTTTCAATGACCTCTTCTCATCCTGTCTTCCGTCATTTAATGGCACTGACTGAAGAATTAGCACCACCATCTGTTTGATTAAACAACTCTTAAAAGTTGTAGTAGATGGAGACATACTTTTTTTTTGCCAATTCCCTGAAAATGGGTTAAAATTTTTGTTGAATTTATATGGACCCTTCCTTTAGTTCAGAGTTAACCTGATAGGCCCTCACCTTTTTCTTAATTTTAGTCAAACTGTCCAGCTTGTATTGGATAAATCTAAGGGCAAAATTAAAACTGAACACCACAGACCAGTCTGAAATATCTTTGTAAAACCAGGTCTGCACTCACTTCTCATTAAACTGTATTCCTATCTGTCTGTTTGTCCATCAGCCTGTCTAACTGTCCGCCTGTCTCTCTGCTCGCTGCTGACTGATCTGTCTTCCTGCATGAATGCTGCTTTTGAGCTCTGCAGAGCATCACCTCCAGGCAACCAGTGTGAACCCAAAGCATTACGCTCACTCACTCACTCACTCACTCACATCTATTTCTAAGCCTGCCAACAGCACATCACATTTTTCTGACTTGAGCTTGATAGAATTAGAGGACTAAAAGATGGCCAGACTTTTTTTTGTCTCATTGTTTAACTTCATTTCAAACGAAATGTTCATAAATCACCAAAAACTTTTGGCTTTATAACTTTATATCAACACCAGCAAAGATAAATTCCTCAACAAGAATTCAAATGTGTTTTAAGTTCATTAGAGCTCTTTATCAAACATGTATTATTAATACCACACTGGACTCTGTAGGACAAGAATTCAAAAGTTAATTTTAGACAAAACTGAGAGCTTTTTTGAAAGGCAGACTTTAAACAAAGCAGCTAATGTTGACATTCAGAACAGCAATTAAGATTATTTTCATTACAGATGAATGTGTCAATTATTTCCCTGAATAATGAGTTGATTGTTTTGCCTATAAAGTGTCAAAAAATAAAGACTTTGGCTGATCACAGTTTCTCAAAGGATTTAAAATGACATGCAGCTGTCTTGATTTGTGGATTAGCAGTTCAAAATCTGATGATATTCAGTTTGGTTTACTGTTTTTTCTTGGACAATTGTTTTCTCTTGTATGACTAATGATTTCAGCCTTGTTGGCATCCTGAACATCTCTAATGATGAAGCTCCAGTCCTAATGTTACCCTGCAGATCTCCTCCTGCTTATCTTTGCTTTGAATCAAATGTTCCTTCAAACTGAGCATCTGAGTTTGTCTCTTTTAATCTGACAGACACGTCGGCGGCCCAGCCAGGATTCCCCCAGGCGGACTCAGCTCTGTTCTACCCCCCTCCTCGGTCCCCGGACCCGGTCAGCCCGCTCACTCACCTGGGGTCTCTGCTGGCGGGACACGACGCACCGAGGACGGCCGGATGGGACAGGTAAGGCAGGCGAACCAGCTGGATGCTCAGCCTCCGCAACAGAAAGTCCCGTTACACACAGACAATGTCCCGAGTTCAGAGAGGTGAGGTCACGGTTTGCTGAAGTTTATCCCCAACTTTTCTCTCAGAGAAAACTCGCCGTCTCGTGATGAATGAGCGCTCGGGCGGGAAAATGCGTTCAGGATGGTGGGGTCGCTCTGCGTCTCTCGCTCCGTGACCTCTCCTCGGTTTTACTCACTGGTGGAATGAGGTGGTGGAGGGATGGTGTGGAGGTATTAAAACGACAGAAGGAGACGTTTTTGTGAAGGAAGAGACCCCACCCCTCTGCCTTTTGAAATCCGAACAGCAGTGAGTGAGAAACAGAGTCTGTGCAGGCAGCTTGGAGACGTTTGGAGAGGTGAGGTGGGGCCGTGGCGCACGGAGCGCAGCGAGGCGCACGACAGAGTGGCATCACTGACCAGTCTTAAACTGTTTAAGAATAACTGTCTGAATCTGAAGCCGTTAAAGTTGTTAAATATTTGCATAAGCTCAAATATGTTGTTTAAAATGTCTTCAATGCCACGCTGACTTTTTTCTGTGAGATCAGCTGGATTTATCTGACAAACAGGCTTATGAATTAAATGAGTACTATATTAATTGTATTTTCATTTACAAGTCATCAGGAGGAGCTGCATTACGTTTTATGTACAAAGTATGTTCAAATATGTGCTCCCGGAGCTCATGATATGTTGGTTTATTGTTTATTTTTTAATTGTATTAAAGGTCCAGTGTGCAGAATTTAGAAGGATATAATGGCAGAAATGGAATAATAAATATGAAGTTTTTCTTTAGTCTATAATCATCCGGAAATAAGTATCATGTTTTTGTCACCTTAGAATGAGCCATTTATATCTGTATAGGGAGCAGGTCCTCCTCTTCTAAGATCACCATGTTTCACCACCATGTTTTTACAGTAGCCCACAATGGACAAACCAAACACTGGCTCTGGACTAAGGATAGACCAATACATCGGCCGGCCGATATATCGGGCCGATATTTGAGTTTTTTACTTTTATCGGCATTGGCCAATACACGCGTGGGTTTGCGGATTTATTTTTCCCTGGCATGATTTACAGACAGGCATCCACGGGCAGCTCTGTGTTGCCGAAAGACCTTGCAGCGCACATGCAGCGAATCCTACTGTGTACAGTAGTTGTTGTTTTATTTATGCTTCAGCTTAAATATTTGTTTATTTTATAAAGACATTACTGGAAGATTTAAGAGCACTGAACTCTTTTTTTTATTTGTATGTATAATAATAATAATAATAATAATAATATTCTACCTGTTCTACCTCAACTTTCCATCTTGTTTTAGTATTTTTTACTGTTCAATAAATGTTTCTTATTTTAAACTTGAGACCTGTAATATTTGTTATCATTGTGTCATTTTTTTGATGTAAATTGAGGGAGCAAAAGCAGTATCGGCCCCAAATATCGGCTCAAGAAAATCGGCAGTCCATAATCGGTCATCGGCTAAGGGTGATGGAAAAAAATCGGTATCGGCATCAGCCCTAAAAAATCCATATCGGTCTATCCCTACTCTGGACAGGAATACATCCAGATATTTTTTGCGTTTGCCAGCGTAGTTAACAGCCCCTCCACGACAAGCAGTGACAAAAAAAACTGCTTTTTTAACGTGACGCTGCTTTATTCAGTGTTTTTACTGGTTTAACCCACCTTGTCGGTTTGTGAGACGAGGAGACCTATACAAATAATTTGGCTCATGATTCAAACCTCCTGAAAGTCTGGATCAGATAGAAGGTGAGCACACACTGGGTTATCAGAGAAAAAGGGTGAGCACACATAGTAGGTGCTGGACATCTTTGACTTGCTGCGAACATGCTAAAATGCATGTGGATTGCAAACATGAATGGCCCTATCTGGAGCCGCTTCCTGTGTAGATATAACGGCTCATTCTAAAGTAACGAAAAAAACAGTGATTCTTATTTTCAGGTGATTATACAATAAAGAAAACATACGTATTGTATTACATTCAATTTCTGCCAACATCCCCCTAAATCCTAACTGCACCTCTTAGACGTCACATTTCAATTCAACTTTGCACAGTATCTAGCAGAATGTCACAGCATGGAGATTAAATCAGAGTCCAAAACTTGTCCACAGTCAGACTTTGAAAAATCATCAGCAGATTAAGACTTCAATGTCAAAAACAAGTTTGCATAAACATTAGTGTCTTAGTTTTTATTATATTCAGCATGTGAACATGAGAAACTTGGCTAACTATGTCAAATATATGATCAATACAGTATTCAGGTGTCTGATTGTTGATCTCAGTCCTTCCACCACTGGCCTCAGGTTGACGCCTCTAAACGACTCCTAAACTGACACCTGTTGAGTCGCTCTCACTAACAAACCAAAGAATGACTGTAGTCATTACAAGTTTCAGCCTCCAGCAGAAAAACCTCTGGAGCAGAAGATGTACTTTTTTGGAGGTGAATGTGCGCTCCTCTGCTCTCCTCCCCCTCTTTCAGTCTTCCTTCTGTCCGTTCTCTGTTCTCAGTGTGAAATGCCAGAGGGTCTGAGCTCCTGACACACTGACCTTTGACCTTTGAAGAGGGAAAGATCTAATTTAGTCTACTGCTGGCACCCTGGTGACTGAGCACACACACACACACACACACAGAGCCAGTCAAGTGTGAACCCTGAACTGTGAACTGTGGAGAGTGGTGTGCTGGGTCAGTGGGATCCCCCTCATGTATGAACAAAACATTCAGTATACAGCTCAGACAGACTCTCCTCCTTACAAGGAGCAGCCTGCTCTCCTCTGAATCCATGTACCGCTGTGTGAGGGCAGGAACTAGGTTAGAAAAGAGAGCTTTAGGCAAAGTTCTTTATGAAAACAGACAGACAGAAACAGATGAATAACATGTTCAACCCTTCATGGTGCATCCAACTGAAGACGCGATGAAGAGTTTAGCTGATGTTACTTTGCAGAAAGATGGAAACAAAATGTGTCACAGATAATTTTAGGACGTCGCAAGACTGAAGAATAATGTCGCTTAAAAATCAATATTGTTGCTGTGAGCAATGTTGTTTTTATTGCCTCAGCATACATATGGAGAGAAGGTATGTGTGACTTAATGACAGGTAATACTGTTACCTTTGTGTGGAGAATTACGTTTGCAGTTCGTGATGCAAGCTAATGTTGTTATCGGTGTTTAGTACTTATTGTTTTGGGGTTTTTTTAGATGAAAGCCACGTGTCAGTTTTTCAATTTTAATATTCCCCTTCAAATAATTTGTCAATAACTGGCCCCATTTTTGAAACAATTCATAAAACATGACGACATGTTCTGCTGCATGAATTAACACTCAGTCTTAAGCACCTTTTCCACTGCACCAAAAAAAAAAAAACACTAACACCCACTAACATCTGGCTTTTTAATGTAATGGGAAAGGTTACAGTCAGCATTCACACCCAGGTCAAATGACTCTGCAGTAGTCACTGGTGTTTATCAGCTCTGGCTCTGATCAGCTTTGATGCACTAATTTTAGCTCCTTTACTGGCAAGTTGCAATGATGTGCCATGACAAAATACACTTCGTCTCCACCTAAGCAGCACTCAAACACTGTCCAGATTAGTCGGCACCAAGTTTGAAAGAGAGACTGAATACGTTAGAGATATATAAAAAGGAGTTACCACTGGGACGTTTTCACAGGCCTCTATACTGCTTTCTACTGTTTACTAACCTGTTTCCTGACCTGTTCATGACATGCAACATGAGCACCAAAAAAAATCCACACACACAGAAAGGCATACTCATCTGCTGCAGTGTCGTTTATGCTGCTCTGCTCTGCTGGTCTCCTGGTCTGGAGTCAATCGCCTATTTTCAGCAGGTTTACTCATGTTTTAAAAACCTGCGCACGCACGCTTATTTTGGTGGAAAAGGGGTGTTAGTGTGTTTTACATAAAGATAATCATCAATCTTGTGTTGAATTTGAAACAATACACCTGGCTGCATCGTACAGTACGATGTAAGAGACAAATGCAAAGATACTCAACTAGACTGTGAAATTTTTCTCTCTTTACAAAACTAGAATTACTTTAGGAAAGGTTCAGAAATATTTCTATAAATGTTTCTAAACATGCGGCCATGTTTCACTGTCACAGGTGTTGCAGGTCAGTGTCAAATTTTTCACATCCCTGCACAACACTGTGCAGCTCTGCCACTTTAAAAACAGCGATATGTTTATGTATTTTTATGATTTCTCATATTTTCAGTTTCAATTTTTTCTACTTTTGACTTTATCATTGTGTTTATCATCATGCACCAAAACACCCAGTCAAATTCCTTGAGTGTGCAAACCTACTTGGTAACAAAACTGTTTCTGATTCTGATGTAAATACTGTATCAGGTTTATTTTATTAAAACTCTATGAAACAGGTCATACTCATGCAAAATGAGACATAAGTTAAATCCTATTCACTTTGAGTCTGAAGATCCTGCCGAAAGTTTCTGTTGTGATTTTATGAGCAGAGAAGAACACCCCCTTGTAGTTTTGACTCAGTTGGCCTCTGAGTGTGTTCTCTCTGTGCGTTGTGACTGTGTGATGGTGGTGTTTCTGAGTTGTCCTTGTTAAAGCTGGCGTCCTGCTGTTTTAGAGAGTCTCTCTGCTCTTCTCTCCTCAACACTCAGACTGACATGAAGAGAAACTAAGTTCACAGACACTTTCTGAGCAGGTAGCCTAAATAAGAATTTTTTGATTTGTAAAATTTGTTGAAGTTATGCAGTCATGTTGTTTGTACTGTATCAGTTGTTTTTACGGTATCTGGGACTTCTCTGGCTGTGGGTCCGATATCCTGCAGAGAGTTTACTTGTTTACTTTTTTCATTGAAAATGGTTCGAAGGAATAGTTTTACATGTTTGTGCAAAGTACCTATTCTCTTTCTTTTAGACCGTATAAAAGAAGTGGACACGTGATGTCACTCATTGGTTTGTGGAATCCTGTTGTGGAATCTTGGTGTTTTTGGAACCAAATGTGACCATATTTGGACAAGTAGGTGGAGCTGTGAAAGAGCGAGGGGTGGATCTGACCATAGACTATAAAGCTGTAACTAGCTCACGAGCTTTGTTCCTAAGGTGCCTCCGTAATTCACATTATCTGTGATATAAATCGGGACACTAATTTTGGCTTTAAGCAGGCTGAAAACAAAAAGTACTCAACACAAAAACTGAACAGCAGTCTTCTTAGAGTATCTTTTAGTTCAACTGAACACTAAACAAGATTATTTTAGGTGACCATGAA